CATTCTACACCATTCATTACTTCTAGTAATGATCAAGTTAATAAACAACATTTTTGAAGGCTTATGTTATCAAACTATTATGTAGTAGATAATCTCATAAGTAAAACTATCCACGTGTAATATTGTCACCACTTTACATACATTAAAACAAAGTCATTCAACAGTAGGAAGTAGAGCCAAGACTCCCTGACCAGACCAAAGGTCTACCTGATACCAGATTGAGGTTTTATTCTCTCCCTACTATTTCCTTTGAAATAATAAACTTATAGAGATTGATGATGCATTATTCTAGTTAATTTAATTGAACAGATTTAATTTAATTGAACAGATCATCAAATACTATATTCAAGAATATATTGTTTCTCAGACAAAATTATTCCGCCATGTTTCCTTTAACAAATGACTTTCTTTCTTTCTTTCTTTCTTTCTTTCTTCTTTCTTTCTTTCTTTCTTCTTTCTTTCTCTTTCTTCTTTCTCTTTCTTTCTTTCTTTCTTTCTTTCTTTCTTTCTTTCTTTCTTTCATTAATGCTCTATTTTGTCATCAATAGTGAGCTCTTGGAGAGGGCACACATAAGTCATTTTCATATTCTCACCAGTGAGCACATTTTCTGCCACTGCCATATATGTCTTATATGTAGACATATAAGAGTCATTGATTGAACTGAATTAGAATGGTCTCACATTTTATGTTCTAAATGCCAAGGCTTATCACATAGTATCAGCAGTGATTAGGTTTAAACACTCTTAGCACGATGCAAGCAATTTTCTGAAAAAGACTAAACAAATTCAAAATTTTATAGGGCATGTATGTTTTTGATCACTTCTTGGATCTCAATCAATCAATAATACCATTTCCTGGAATAATATAGCAAAATAAAAAACAGATACTAAAAAGTAATATAATAGGACTCTAATTCTCTTTCAACAGTGCTTGTTTTATACCCAGACTCAGAGGAAAATTTTTTCCTAAGCATTAAATAAAGAAAGCCTTTTTTTTCTGTAAAAGGGTCATTCCCCTCACTCTTATCTGAAGAGCAATCACCATCATATTCTTTTTAAGGCACAAAAATATCTATATTACTTATATATTACTTTAATAATATTTCTAGCAATGAAGAATAGAAAACTCTCTTCATATCCCTCTTTCTGAAGTGCCTGCCTGAGAAATAGTAAATTGGAAGTCACTAGAACAAAATTAAAATCTTAATTAAAACCCAGATGTTTAAAATGTATGGCCAAACTCCAGGGCAAAAACATATATGTTATATATAAATTTCAGAGGCATATATAGATAAATTTCAGGGGCATTGCTGCCAAAGGAAATCAGCTTAAAACTGTTGTTGACAGGGGACTAGCAGTGAGAGGGCATAGGAAGCAAGAAAGCACATAATTAGATACTTGATCTGTGACATATTAAAGTTAAGATGATGAGAACCAAGTCATGGCACAGTCTGAAAGACCCACCATGAAAGTAAAGGTAAAAACAAAAGGATCACACAACTAAACAACCCAAAGCAGCAAATAAACCATGATGTGCACCTGAAGCAAAATAACATCTGCCAGTGAGGGTCTAGGGGGTCATTATGTCAAGAACTACTGCATTTAAACACAAATAACCTTTGCCAAAATATATAAATGTTTTATAATGTTCCATGTATACATACATATGTAATGAAAGATGGTTTTCCTTTTTCTTTTTTAACCTCTGACTTTAACATACCCAGATGCCTGGAAGATTGTAAATACACCAAATAAAACCAACTCTGTGCTTGGAACCTGAAGATGTCTGCAGTCATATAGCAAAGCATCATAAACATCAAACTCCAGGCTCAAAGAGAAATGACAAAAATCAATAACCTGAGTAGATAGTTATCAAAGTACAGGAAAAATTGTTCTCTGGTGTTTCTATAAAACTCAGAGCTTGTGGTTCAGTTGAATTACAACCCCAAATCTCAAGCCTATATTTTCACAGATTCTTTGCCTCCAAACAGAACATTCTAGGATGAATCTAAACAAACATGGTAAAAGCAATCAGTTTTCAACATATCAGTAGGTAAATATAGTGTTTCACCTGAGTGTTAATAGCACTACTGAGGTTTTTAAAATACTATGCCTAGCCTGGCTTTTAACCAGGATCTACTATAAAGCATAATTGTTTCCAGAACCTAGATACAAATCTAATGTTTGTCAAAATATTGGCCATGGTCAAGATTTAACTTGCATGTAAAATAAATTGAAAGAATGGGTGAAGAAAGAAGGACATATTTCTGTCTATTTAGATTTAATTGGAACTGATACTACATAAAATAACATTTTAAGTTGTGCTAATCAAACTTCAAATAAGTATTGTTTAAAATGATGTGGAATGAATCAGATCTTGAATGTATTAAAATTTTTGTTCTCCATTATTAGCTGTGTGAACTTTGACAAGTTTCACACCCTCTTCTGAGCTTTGACTTCCTAACCTCTAAATAGGATGACTATGAAATATGATCTAACAGATGAAATAACAAATGTAAAGTGTTTAGTTCAGTGTCTATTATTTAGCAAATGCCCAGAGTGATATTTTCTATGCAACCAATAAAATATATGCTTGGGGGCACTTTAGTCTCCCCTTCTGGAACTTGGGGAGAAGCCCTAGCAATGTGTGATCATGTAGTATACATCAACTTAATTTTTAACAATTTGCTGTATTAATCTCATTTTAAATTTAATGCCCAACCTTAACTTCATAATTGCGCATATATGTAGTTGACTCTTGAACACAGGAGTTAGAGGCACCAACCAATCCTCTGTGCAGTAGAAAATCTGCATATAACTTTCAACTTCCCCAAAACTTGATGACTAATGAGCCTACTGTTGACCACAGCCTTCCCAATAACATCAACAGTTGATTAATACATATTTTGTGTGTTATGTGTATCATATACTGTATTGCAATAAAGTGAGCAAGAAAAAATATTAAGACAATTATAAGGAAGAGAAAATTTATTTATAGCCTTGTATTTATCAAAACAATCTGTGTATTAGTGAAGCCTCATAGTTCAAACCCATGTTCCTCAAGAGTGAACTATATTCTTAGAAAGCTTCCTAAATTGAAAATTAATTCCCAGAAAACTTCTATCTGCCTGTAATTATTGCCTATAATTATTAGTCATTACTAATAAGAATCAGTAACACTAAAATTCAATATAATTTCTTTTTCCTAGCTTAAAATAATCACAAAAGTTTACTTTTAAAGAGCATAATTATGGAATCTGAGCTCACAATTAAGTATGTGTGACTAGTTTTGCTTTTAAATGCTGATTATCATCATTAATAGGTTTTCATTTTGAAGACAAAAACTAATGCCTAGGGGAAGTTAGAAGTTTCTTTCAAGTTTACTGTTTCAAATAGACAGTTGTTTTATTGAACTAAGTCAGGTATAGTTTTGAAAATGTTAATATACTATCAAAACCTCCATGTATTGGGTGAAGATAGAAGCCCATATTGCTTTAACCCTATGAGATGGAGAACAGACACTTAGCACTGGGAGGAAAGAGGGTTAATTTAAATGATAATGGATCTAATCCAAAATTGTCAAGCCAGGTAGATTTACAAAGGCCTTTTGCCCAGAGCCATAATACAGATAAAAAATTCAGGAATGAACAGAAGAGTCCAGCTGTCCTTTTAAAACTTTTTCAAATATACAGGAGTAAGTTTAGAAAGAGTGCCAGCATGTGTGTAGGAGAGAGAACTAAACAATGTGGGAAAAGCTCTTCTTCCTGGATGATCCAGTACCTCAGAGTGGCAGGTAGGAGGAATTAAATCTGCCCTCAGATAGTGTCCAGTCCCATGAGTCTCTAATTTTGGGAGTTTCTTGCAAACTAAGTGTCTTAAGACACAAAGCACACAACTTAATCTGGTATCACCTGAAGAAACAGCTATTCTCCAGCTGTGGCAGAAAAACTGCCTGTGTGGGATTTATTAAATATATATACTGTATATTGTACTATATGCTTGGCCTTAGGGATTTCTTGAATAACTTTTCATTGTAAACAATTTTGCTTTACAGCCTGGTTTAAGAAATGAATCTTTAAGAAGTAATTCTATACCCTAAAATAAGACCATTTCCAATCAAGATTCTATAATAGAAATAGGAAGAAATCAAGCATATGTAGCAAGTATAAGTGATCAGGCCCTAATATTCAGATATGCAAAAATAATATGCCTCCATAGTTTTCTATAAATCAACTCAAACCCCTATCCTACCTGATTTTAGTCAATTCTAAAATTAACTATTTCAAATTGAAGCTAGCCTTCTAAGAGTTTCCCCTCTCTGTCTGTCTTTCCCAGGTTTCTGGATTCTTACCTGTTAAGGTGTTAGTGAGTGGTGGTGATGTGGAGCAGAGAGGTTGGGTAGGGGCCAGAATCTGGTCCTCTGCTGACACTTCCACCCTCCTCAGTCTCTAGCTTTCCATCCTCCTGTGCTGGCATCCACTAAGAGCCACTATCTCATTCATAATTTTTATTCCACAGCCTGTTTCCCTCTCCATACAGAGAAACATTTTCTGATCTGCTATCCATTCATCTGCTTCTTTTCCACTCTTGGGGCCATGAAATGTCTATTTTCCCTGAACCTTTTGAGCCATAGGAAAATGTCTTTTAGAGCTATCTCAAGTGTGATCTGTCTCTTCACATCTCATCACCATTTCTACTCCACTGCTACTGCACCAAGCTGATGTAGTACCACTAGGACTGTCCCAATTTTTGTCTGTTTCCCTGGATTCCACCTTAGAAGCAAGCATATATCCTCTCCTTTCCAAATGACAAACTTAAATGAAAGTTATAAGAAGTTCCATCGTATGCCTCCACTTGGACCTAACCACAGAGAGAATATACAATGACCAATTCATATCTTAGACACTCACATTCAGGATTCACTCTGACACACCTTTTTTTCCTCTTATTATCTCCCTAAACCCAACTTGAAGGATTTTTATCAACATTGAGAAACATGAGTGCTTGCTTGGGTAACACGTGTACTAAAATTAGAACTGTGTAGAGATTAGCCTAGCCCCTGTGCAAGGTGACACACAAATTTGTGAAGCATTCCATATTTTTTAAAAAATTGAAAAAAAATGTAACCCTTTTTTGGTATGAACTTTATGCTTTGAACTTTTCTGCTTTTGAAAAATATAAAAACCTAGCTCTTGTAGTTCAAAATTCCTTAATAATGTCAGCTTGTCTTGAACTTCAAAAATATATTTCAAAATGCAAAAGCTAAGTAATCATTAATTTCTTTCATTCTACATTTCTGCAATAGAATTTCTACCATGAAGGCAATAAGCCCAGGATTATTTAATTGGTAGGGCAAGAAGACATATTCAGTGCCATTCTGAGTGAGGAAATATACCAGCTAATGTGACACAATATTTCAACAGTTATCAAGAAAAAAGCTACTTGAAAGAGAATATTATCTCTTACGTGCTGAGGAGGAACTTTGCTTAGTGGAAGAAACTTCATACACATCTCTTAATTGGGCTTCTCCAGAAACCTTGGAGAAGATAGAGTAGGACTTGGAACTATGGTGGTAGCAGAGATCTCTGATATGGCAATGAACACTGTGGGTGAATCTTACTAGGTGGTTTTACTTAATCTTGTTCAGATGTCAAAATAACAAAATCATGGAGTTCTTTACAAAGCAGTATAACTTTTTGTTCAATGGAATTCAACTATTGAAACTATCCTGCTCTGGACGTATCTATATAAATTTGAATCATGTTTATTTACAGGATCTCTTTCTCTCCCCCATTCCACCTCTCTTAATCCTCATAAATGTATAAAATACAAATAGTGATAGATACACAAGTCCATAAGGAAAGCAAATGATTAAATTTGCACTTTCTTCTATCATTGTGTATCTCAGTTGCAGTACTGTAACAGTAACAGCAAAGATTAAAAAGTTGAAATAACTTGAAATTGGGAAAATCATGTCTGTGGATTCTTTCTTTTCCCAGAATCCGGAAAAGGCTGCTGTGAAGTATTTTATTTTTGTCTTCATTGGAATCTGTTCAGCTCAAGAAACAACAGTGTTCCATGGACTTAGAGTTTGAGAACTACCATGGAACCATCTGATATTCTATATTAACTTATTCTTATTTCATCTTTCAAAGGTATGGAATCACCTTTTTCTTATGACCAGTCTTTTCTCTGCATGGGCTGAAAACAGCCTAAAGTAAGGAAAGAATGATTTCACATTGTAAGCAAAAAATCTATAACCTTTTGCAAATACAGGACTATGGGCTACAGGTTTGTTTGTTTTGTTTGGGTGGGGTGTGGGGTTTCTTGCATGTTTATTTTGTTTTTATTGGTTCTAAGTAAAAGACAGTCAACAACAATGAAGGAAACAGATTTAGAAAGAATTTCCATCATGAGAGGACATCTCCCAGCAACTTTTGTTACAGGCTATATTTCCTGCCAAAACTCATTCAGAATGTATTTGGACCATTCTTATTACTTGAGGGCATTTGGAAGGAGTCACACAAGAGAACTGTAGTTCATACCACTCCCTTTGTGTATCTATTTGAGCAACAGTAGATGGAATAAGCTGTAGAATTACAACTGATAGTGTGTTCAGACAGAAAGCATATGTCCCTCACAAACTGAGCTCTGAACCATGGCAGGCAAACATTCACTGTTCTCAGTGAGCCTCAGGTGTAAGAGATAGAAGTAAATCATATGGATCAGAGTTACAAACAAAACTAAGAGGAAATGAATATTTAGAATAGACCAAGACTCTAATAGATACGTCATTCTAAGCATACCCACCTAGGGACTTCACCAGTCACAAGAAAATGGTTGATAGTTTTCAACCCAAGAGCTAACTCAGACCATGAATAACAGTTCCTAGAGTATTGTTTTATGTATGTCATTCTATATAAGCTCCACATTTTAGCTCTATGGCTGTCAAAGGTAGAAGAGCCATCAGGAGTGGCACTTATGCCATGAATTTGGTTTCTGAAGCTTAGAAAAATTATACAAGGATCATTAAAGCTTAAAGACAAATATCTTGTCTTTAAGCTTCTGTTAAGTATAAATTGAATATTTTTAAAAGTGGATGTTAAGTTTCAAATAAGTATTTTGTTCTTTTAAAGTATCAGGTAAACTTGTTCAGACATTGTGAAGGAAGGACCTGCAAATGGAACCCACATGAAACCATAGTTACTACCCTGGATCACCAACAGATTTAGAGGATTCACACCTTAAAAGGAAGCACCCCTACTGGAATAAGTCAATAAGTGATCTTTTTAAATTGCATCTGAACAGAGACTAAATGTATACAAGCCAACAAGTACCTGCAAAAAGAGTACATTACATCTTTGAATCTAAGATATTCATTTTACTACTTAGAAAGTCAGTAATGTTATAATATTTGTGTAGTGAGGGATGCCTGAGTGGCTCAGCAGTTGAGCATCTGCCTTTGGCTCAGGGCATGATCCCAGAATCTCGATCAAGTCCAACATCAGGTTCCCTGTGGGGAGCCTGCATCTCCCTCTACCTATGTCTCTGCCTCTCTCTCTCTCTCTCTCTCTCTCTCTCTCTCTCTCTCTCTGTGTGTCCCTCATGAATATATAAATAAATCTTTAAAAATATATATTTGTGTAGTGGTGTGGTTTTTTTTTTTTTGAACTGTAATTAAACCAATTTTATTTTTTGTAAATGATGGCATCTTGGGGATCCCTGGGTGGCTCAATGGTTTCTCACCTGCCTTTGGCCCAGGGCATGACCCTGGATTCCTGGGATCGAGTCCCACATTGTGCTCCCTGCATGGAGGCTTCTTCTCTCTCTGCCTCTCTCTGTCTCTCTGTCATGAAGAAATAAATAAAATCTTTTTTAAAAAAATGATGGCATCTTAAAACTGGAGGAATATGCCAGTAGTTGATAATATCATCAAAACAAGAGCCCTAAATTTCCCTTGGCAATTTTCTTTTTCCCAGTTTTAGGATATATTTAACATAAAGCACTGTATAAATTTAAGGTGTGGAGCATAATGATTTGACTTACATATATTGTGAAATGATTACCGCAGCAAGTTTAGTTAACATCCATCATCTCATATAGGTACAGGGGGAAGAAAAAAGAGGAAAAAAGATTTTCCTTATGATGTTTTCCTTGTGTTGAGAACTCTTAGGATTTACTCTCTTAACAACCTTCAAATGTGCCACACAGTAGTGTTAACTGCTGTCATTATGTTGAAAATTGCATCTCTAGTAATTATTCATCTGATAACTGGAAGTTTGTACCTTCTGATCACATTTATCCAATTACCTCTCCCTAACCCCCCTCTCCGGAAACCACAAATATTTGTTTAAGGTTTGCCTATATAAATGAGATCACATACTATTGTCTTTCTTTCAGGTATTTTACTTAGCATAATACTCTCAAAGTCCATGTTGTTGTAAATGCATAAAAAGATTTCTTTTTTTATGGCTGAATAATCTAATTGCGTATGTATGCATGCACGCACACGTGTGTGTGTGTGTGTGTGTAATCACATCTTTATCCATTTATCCATTCATGAAAACTTAGGTTATTTCCATGCCTTGGCTACTGTAAATAATTCTGCCATGAACATAAAGGGGAAAATATATCTTTGACATAATGTTTTCACTTCCTTTAGATAAATACCCAGAAGCAGAATTGCTGAATCACATGGTAGTTCTCTTTTTAGTTTTTTAAGAAAACTTCATTTTATTTTTGATGGCTGCTGGATCAATCCCACCAACACTGCACAAGTGTTGCCTTTTCTCCACATCCTCTCTAGCATGTGTTATCTTTTGTCTTTTTGATGGTAACCATACTAACAAGTGTAAGGTGCTTTCTTGTGGTCTTAATTTGCATTTTCCCTGATGACTAGTGATGTTGAGCAGCTTTTCATGTACCTGTTGATCATTCACATATTTTTTTTGGAAAAATATTCCATGTATTTTATTCAGGTCCTTTGCCCATTTTTAGTTGGATTATTTGTTTTCTTGCTGTCAGGCTGTATGGATTCCTTATATATTTAAAATAATAACCCTTATCAGATACATGGTTTGCAAATATTTTTTTCTTCCCATTCGATAAGTTTTCTTTTCATTTAGTTGAACAGAGCTTTTTGATGTAGTCCCACTTAGTTATTTTGTATTTTGTTTATGCTTTAGGTGTCACATTCAAATAATCATTGCCAAGACACATGTCAAAGAACTTTTCCCGGGCAGCCCTGGTGACTCAGTGGTTTAGTGCAGCCTACAGCCCAGGGTGTGATCCTGGAGACCCAGGATCGAGTCTCACGTGGGGCTCCTGCATGGAGCCTGCTTCTCCCTCTGCCTGGGTCTCTGTCTCTCTCTCTCTGTCTCTCTCTCTGTGTGTGTGTGTGTATCTCTCATGAATAAATAAATAAAATCTTTAAAAAAAAAAAAAAAACAAAGAACTTTTTCCCGTGTTTTCTTTAAAGAATTTTAGAGTATCCAGACTTAAGTTTCTAATCCATCTTGAATTAATTTTGGTGAGTGGTGAAGAATAGGGGCCTAGTTTTATACTTTTGCATATGAATATCCAATTTGCTCAGCACCATTTATTGAAGAGACTGTCCTTTATCCATTGAGTATTCTAAGATTGCTATCAAATATTAGTTGCCTATATATAAATGGGTATATTTCTGGGCTCTCAATTCTGTTCTATTGGAGTATATATGGTTTTTAGGCCAGTACCATACTGTTTTGACTACTATAGCTTTATAATATAGCTTGAAATCAGAAAATGTGATACCTTCCACTTTATTCTTCTTTCTCAGGATTGTTTTTGTTGTTTGGGTATTTTGTAGTTCCATATAAATTTTAGGATTCTTTTTCTACATTCATAAAAAAATGCCATTGGATTCTTTTTTTTTTTTATAAATTAATTTTTATTGGTGTTCAATTTACCAACATACAGAATAACACCCAGTGCTCATCCCGTCAAGTGTACCCCTCAGTGCCCGTCACCCATTCACCCCCACCCCCCACCCTCCTCCCCCTCCACCACCCCTAGTTCATTTCCCAGAGTTAGAAGTCTTTATGTTCTGTCTCCCTTTCTGATAT